TTAAGTAACACATCCCTTCCTAAAACTCTCAACAAAAAGATTACGAATTCCTGTAGCAAGATTTAGATTCTCGCACAAAGTTGCCATCGCGTGCAAATCAACCAATGCTTATACAATCTTTATAAAAAATGCATCTTTATCGCTACATTCTAATTAACAAAATGTACAGACTTCAGCGAGAACCGTACGAGCACGACATAGTGAAGCGCATACATATTTATTGCGTGACTGCCGAAGTTATCAAAACAGTGTTCCCAAACGTTGTTTTTCTGCGAAATTTCATAATAAACGTTGTTTTCAAAATTCTATTTTTCCAAATTAATGATTCGTTAGTCGACATGAAAACGATCAATGAAATTCTGAATTAAAATGTCTTAATGAAAATATTAATCTCACATGATTCGTTTAATCTTTTTTGCTTGAATTGAAACTTTTCGTTAATAGAAAAATTTAAAACAACAATTTTTGAATATTCTATCGTTATATTTTAAATGGATTTATGATGAAATTAAATCGGGAAACACTGCACCGAAAAAACTTCAGGTTCAAACACGTATCGTATCTTGAAAAATAGATTCACGTAATGTTCTTTCACAAAAATCGCGACGACAAAGATCTCGTCCGGTTCTCGATCAGCAAATAAACAGCCAACAATTAAACTCTTGCGAGTAGTCCGAAAAAAATTTTAAATTAATATTCCGCTCGGTTGAAAATCTCGAAAATTTGCTGGGATATCTCTCGTTCGGAATCAATAGACACAATCGTATGTGAAAAGATCAAACAGCACTTCTAATGCTAAATTATTCATTATAAGATTACCTTTTCAACTTGTCAAGATGAAACAGATACATTTTAATGCGACTTAAAAGTAGCTTCTCGTATGGTAGCACTAAATAGCTTTCAAAATCGATGATGATAGAATGACTCATAACAAGCGACAACAATGAATGGCAGCTTTATCAGGCAGTGTGATCATGGGACGAATTAATTAATTAAAATATAAGTGGAGAATGTAATCATCAGAAATATCACTTTCATATTCGATAATAGAAAACAGTATATTTGCATGAAATAAACTCATTCTACTTTGTTTATTATTTAAAATTATTATAGCTTAATATTTACAACATTCTATAAGATTTAATTTCTTAAGAACAAGTAATTAAAAATAAAATATTATTTATAATAATAATAATTGTTTGTAATGTCTTAATTATAATTGTAGGCCATAATTCAATATATTTGGAGTTTATTTGTTCGTTATATGTTATAAAGGTTTTATATAGAAAATAATTTTGAACAAAACAATTGATATGGGTCCCCTCTATAATATATATTTCTTTGAAGTTTTGATTATCATTCGATATTATATCGATATTATCGAGGCAGTGTAATAGTATTATACATTTTCGTCGAGGTGCAATTTGCATTATTGATTGCAATGTGCTAAAGAGCATGTACGATAAAGGCCTATGCATACGTATCCGAGAGATATCCTGCTATGGTAATCTAAATTTTTTTTACAATAACAAATTTCGAATTTATGGTAAAGGCAAATGTCCCGAATATAAATAAATTTCAAGTGAAAACTGTCACGATATTTATAGGTATTTTGTATTGAAGTGGGACTTCCGCTTTTATCGTGTTTCGAAAAGTACTGCTCGCAAAAATTCTCTATTATGTAACAATAATGCGCGCGAATGGAAGTCGCAAAAGAGAAAAGCCGATCGCGAAATGAGGACACGACAGATCCGATCTTCTGTGCTCGACTTTAATTTTCGCGAGCGAAAATTAATACACCGCACATTCACATCCGGTTTCCTGCGCAGCATTATTAACTCTCTCCTTTCTGGATGATTTTTAAACGCCGAGATAAATATTTGATTATCACCATGCTTAATTTCGAGATCGCGTGTATCCTCAAAGATATAGAAAATATTGAAAAATATTATATGACAACCTGATGTACAAAAACTTAAAAGTGTCAAAAATATATAAATCTGAGACAAAATAAATTCTAAATGCACAGCAAAAAAATATTTTATTCATCTACAATATTCTTTCATAAAAGTTTTTTTTATAAAAATAATTTTCGTAGAATTATGAATTGAGGAAAATGTAAGATGAAAATCGTGTTTTCAAAACAAACATTTCTCTATAAAAAATGTCTAATTCACTTAATGTAAAAATATGTTTAATTATTTTATTAATGTAAAAATATGTTTAATTATTTTATAGATTTACTTTTATAATATTTATTTTTGATATTTTAATCATTCAGTCAATTCATAGTCCTGTAGCTGTATTGGAAAAGAGAGAGTTAATATTTTTTATTGGTAAAACCGAACACTGTGTACGGCGAATAAGATATTTTCGATGACATGCCATCATAAAATTACCATAATTTTTATTTCAACACCTATAAGTCGAGATAACGTGGTTCCGGTAATTTCCTCTACATTTCCTATGATATATGTATATGTGTATAAGTTTCATCTACATTGAATCAAATGGTGATTGCAATTGTCCTTTTTCACTCACAGAAATTCGACATTTTTTACTAAAAGCTGGCGAATTCTTCGTCGTACACGTCGCTTCAACCTTTACGAGTTGCTTTTTTCAAGAATTTTTAAAAATTACAAATTTAATGAATGAGATGCGGATGAAAATTAGTTGTATATATGTCATTAATAATATAATCAATTTAGGAAACTCGAGAAACTTTTTTTTGTTTTTTGAGAACGTTACCATTTCAAAAGTAAACGTACCTCATCAAATAAATTTCTATTTAATATAGCATCATCTTAAATATTTTACTATTCACTATCAGAGTTTTTTTTTTTTAATTTCTATTATCTGTCAATGTGAAACATGGCATACGACGAAAATTGCACCAGCCGCTTAGCTTTGCGGGAAAAGCCATCCGGCCCCGAAAAGAAAAAAAGAAATCCCCCGATCGGGTCAGAGAAGCGCATCGGAGCGCATCCCGGGAGAAATCCGGAATGCGCTCCGATTGGAGAAACGATAACATTTATCTAACCCTAAGTGTTGCGTCGCTGAGATTGGCATGTACTTACGCAAACATACGCATGTTCCGGCTGCTGCGTCTGCTGCTATTGTTTCTCGGTCCGCGGTTCGATCGCGGCGAACAATCACTAGGGCGATTTTGGATCCGAGTGGAACTCGAACGACCGCTCGTCCGGCGGCGACGTTCACCTGAACGCGGCGCCCGCGATGACGGTAACGGCGGCCAGGATCACTGCCGCGGATACCGTACGGCCGCAAGAGCTACCGGCCGTGAGCCCCGCGTCGCTGCTGCGAGACACTTTGCTGCGCACCAGCTGACCTCGCTCGACCGCGTTCGACTCGTCGCTGTCAGGATCGACCGGCGCGCCGATGTCACCGTCCTCGCTCAGCAGCATCGACAATTTGTTCCGCAGCGGTTTCTTCGCGCAGGGCACGCTCACCTCCTCGTACGGCCTAAGGATGCGTGGATAATGCACCTCGAGATTTTCCGTGCCGGGCAGGGCACCCTTACTGCTACCACATAGCGGCTTAAACGTGCCGCTACGAGTGGCCTCCTGGAAACTCTGAAAGTTCGACTCCCAGTTATAGCTGACTAACCGTTCCTCGAGCGTCATGCCCGCCAGCTTCTGTGGCTCCTGAATCGTCACTGGACTGGAACCCCTGCGGCAAAGGAAAAATCGTCTTGTTGCGTCACTGTGTTTCTCATATCTTTTGCTTCTACGCCTTTCTTTTTTCCTTATTTGAATTTGGTCATTATGATGATTTTTTTTTATTATAATTATTCGTATTACTAAATATGTTTTTATACTAAATGTATGTGAAATTCAAGATCTTTATTTAAGAATTATTTATGATATGTCAGATCGTTAGTAACGTAACTCATCTGATATGATGTAATGTCTGTTGTTCGTTAGGTTGTGATGGCCGACACTTTCATAACGTACTCTAATAATGAACCTCTAATAGCCAATTTAGAGTGATCAAAGAGTGATCAAAATGTCGAACGATCATCATTTGCAAAGAGTCAGTATAAAGTGGCAACGATTACGTGACTTGTGTCTTAAAATATCATTTTGTCTCATTCACGTAAACGATTTATCAGTTGAATAAAAAATGAAAGGAGAATATGAATAAACTGATTAAAATCGCATCACGGAAATTATTATCGGAAAGTAAAAGTTTATGCCTAGAATACGTTTTAAATAAATTACAATTAATTATTAAATTTAATTTAAACTTTAAAAATATCTTGCTAAAGTTTCAAGAATTTATAAATTATATCTAACATTTTTTTCATTATCGTAACTCTGAGCACATTTCATATAATCTTCAATCGTATGATTTTTGGTTGATGTAATGATTTTGAATTTGTGGAAATATCACTTACTGTTTTAATTTCTGGATTCCCAAGCTGTGCAGCACTGTCGGTAGAGAGGGTAAAGAATAACAGAGAGATAATTCAATGCGAGGATAATAGAGAACGGACACTAAACAAGTTTCTTCTCTCGTTCCCAAGCCGCCGAGCGTAATGGCCGTCCGAGATTCGGACGAATACGTGCATTCGGCGACCAAGTGATCACTCTATAACATAAAAGGATGATATGTCACCCGAGGTGAGTACCAAACTAAACGAAACGAACTCTTAAAAATTTAAAAGCTTGCGACGTCGTCCACTTAACAAAACGATAAAAAGACAGCGATAAAACGCAGATTTAAGTTGAAATTTCTAGATTATTGTAGCAAAGTTGTAATCCATGCTTTATTATAAACCGTAAAATTTCAATATTCTTACTTTTCAATTGAATTGTGTTATAATACATTTTTACTCTATGTTAACACGTAATCGCATTTAAGTCCTCCCCGTTTGAGCTCGTTCAAACAATTAAACTCAGGTTCATGCCCTGCATCTGTAGCATGTCGGCACTTTACGTGATCAAAGCTATACTTATTGCACGTTAATAAACTTTATAACAAGCTCATAAACTTTCTGATACGTGCTATGGGTTATAATGCAGCTAGAAGTATGTTCGCGGCAACTACGCGAAAGGCGTGCAACGTAGCGGAAACAGAACAGAAAAATAAGAATATATTAAAGGACCGCTGTAGAAGACGTTACTCGCGAAGCGCTTAAGAATAATCTTGGATTATTCTCTCGAAGGAAAAATCTCGACGGGTAGAGTTTCGAGATTCTTTTTCCGATTCTTCGCGATCCCCTTCATTATTAATCGGAGATATTTTATAATTGCGTTAGCTCCCCATCGCCCATCATAGGGAGGATAAAGTTTAATAAATTGGCCGATAAATTGGATTCTAATATAACGATTAAAATGAAATCCAACTTAAGCCTCTGCGATATTCGATATCTTTCTTTCGAATAATTATACTTTAGAAAAGAAAATTCGTACTAGGAGCGTACGAGTGTACTAACTCGTAGCGTCGTACTAGAAAAATACTATCTCTTTCAGTATGTATTACGTGTTGCACCATCGTACATCGTACGTCATGCTAGGGTTAAGACTGTACTTACCGGGTACACCTTGACTGGCCTTTGAAGCCTCCGATACTCCTGATAATTGGGATCGTAGTTGGTGTCAGCGGCGATCGGCGGCAGCTCCTCGCCGGCGCGGATCTGCCGCAGGCGGACCTTCCTGCCGAGCTGGTGGGTATGCATGATCACGGCGAACATGTTAATGCCGCTGTTTGGTATCGTCTGGCCGGTGCAATCGGCGATGCAGTGGCCCTCGGAGACCACCTCGGGCTGACCGGGCGGTATTATGTGCCGCCAGTTCGGGTCGATGCCAACGCTGAGAATACCAGCATCATGGCCGCGCAGTCGATTGGTGTAGAGAAGACGCAGACCGCTGCTGTCGCTGATGAAGGCGTCCAGCTGCGGGTTCGTGTAGTGGGTCTCCAGCATGTAGTAGCGCGGCCCCGCGTACGGATTGAGCGCGTATCCGGCCTCCGGCGGATAATTAAAACCCTGGTGCGGCAAAAGGGAGAGGGAAACGATGGATTATGCAGAAGCCGCCAGTAAATAAAAACAGGACCGGCAGCAAGTACGCCGGTCCGGTTCTGATCGGAGGCCCGCTCTCCGATCTGGTCTGGTCTGATCCCGCTCTTACCCCGACGGCTTCCAGTCCGGTATAATCGTTATACACCTTGATACATCGAGCGGGTCCTCGATGGAAATTGTCGCTTGTGGAATTCGTTTCCTTATTGGCGATGCATGTACACGCAAATTATGCCCGGCTAATTTTAATTTTTAGATATTGATGATGAGCGAGATAATAATCCGCCCAATTCAGGGAACCGTATGGTAATCGCTATTTTTATAAATATTTATAAATATTTTATATATATATATATATATATATATATATATATATATATTCTAGCTTTATTAATATAACCCGTGTAATTTCGATCGACCGCGTCAAACATGTTTGCATTATTAGTAAAATTTTACTTTTAATTTTGGATGTTCAAACTAAAATTCAATAAATTTTTCTCTTTTTTTACTATAAGTCGTCGAATTAAATACATCCTCATCACGCTGTAAAAATTTTATTAAATATTTATTTCCTGTGTAAAAATAATAATTATTTAAGATAAGAATAATATTATTTATTGTATTTTTTTAAATAATTCAATAAATATTTGAAGATTAATATCATTTTAGTATTGGCAGAAAAAAAAACGTCGAAATCAAAAGAAAAATAAAAATGTTTGATCGTCATTTACTGCATATTATAAATAAATATGTCATATCCATATGTCATATCAATTAACATTTTTCATCGATATTGAAAATCATATATAAGATCCCGACACGTTTACAATCAGTTGTAATTTCACAGGATGTTCGTATTACCAATAACCACGAAGAAACAAGTTTGCGGTATTCCTGTTCTCACATTGGTATACATTACACCGCACTCGGAATTATCACGAAACTCTGAACGTGCCTTGTACAATCACGCGCAACACTTGACGAAGAGTCAAGTTTACATAACGATAAGCAATAGGTATGTATTTCCAATAATGACAATCGCAGACAAAACAAACAAATAAAATGCAACGCCAAATTTCTAATATTTCATTGCTTACATATATTTTTCATATATATTTAAAACTAACTTATATTTCGATCAATTACTTATTATTTAATATTATATTTAATATAATAATAATAATAATAATAATAATAAATAATGATAATATATTATATCTTATTTATTATTATTATATAATATATATATATATATATATATATAAAATATTTATTATTACTTTTTATTATTGAATTTTTTTTCTTTATATCGAAACCTCAATGAGACAACTAAATAACTTCAATTGACAAAATCTAAAAAATTTTAATTCCAATCATAGAGCGTGTAATAAAAAATAAATGAACTTTAAAGTTTATATTTCGTAATTTGTGCTTTCTACATCGTAACCAATTTATGCAGCAAACACGATGACGTCCGTGACTCCCGAAAACCATGCCAATATGGAAGCACTTGGTACTCGCATTGAGGTCTCCGACATGTAAACATAAGTGAAATTTTCAACATACCTCAGAACCGAGACTCCAAGTGGCCGCGATCGTGTTGCATTGGAATGTGGGTTTATCAGGAACGTAACAGACACTCCCGATCTTTTCGGCCGCGGATTCCAATTCGGCTTGATCTCCGCGGCACTCGTACAGGGTCATATGGTGAAGGTATTCGTGACTTCCCGGCTGAATAACTGGTTCGTACTGAAATACAGAACAGGCATACGAGCTCGTAACAAGGATTAATGTCGAGCGCATTTCGGCTGCGCTCGTAACGTGTTCATAACTCAGAAACGACATACATCTTGACGCTTTTATCGCAGTGGAATCGATGCTGAATTAATCGAAGAAGTTCACGAGTTTAAAAAGTAGAGGTTGTCTCATTTACTCGTACAATTTAATCGCGTTAATAGAAAAAAATATATATTTTGTAATTTTTCTCTTAAAGCTTGCGCGATGCATCGCTTTACAGATAATTAATCCGGTTAATGAATCGTGTATTCGTCGTTTCGATTTAAAGCAAGGCGGATGTCATTAAATTAACCATAGACAATGGAATATCAACAACCGAAAGAAAGCACTTCGCACCCTAATAAGCGTTGTTTCTCACAGTTTAAATTATTCGAGCGCAAAATTGAAAAAGAGCCGCCTAGATCGATACGCGCGGTATTTCTCGTACTCCCCACGTTTGGGAAAAACGTACCGTTTCGATTCCCTCTCAATAGGAGCAACAAATTAAGGCGCCCGCCGATACCGTAGTTAATGGCAGTTCGTTCGACCGTTAACCTCAGAATGCCTTGGTACTCCGTCAATAAAAGTTCCGTAAAACGCGAGAGGGGTCCACGTAAGCGCTTGAGTTATCGCAATCGAAACGCTAATCGTCTCTCCTCTCTCCGGCCGTCTGTACCCGTGATAGGAACACAGAGCAATCGCATCGCGTAGTTGGGTCACGTCCGATCGAGTTCGAGATTCAGGTGTCGGTCGGTCGACCGGCGCCAGATAGAGCAGACTATATCAGCCAGCCAACCCAACACCCTATTCGGAAACACCCGGGTGCGGATATGAACATCAGCAGGAGACGAGATACGATAAAGCAGAAAAGAATATAAAATAGAACTAAAAAAGAGAGATAGAATAAAATAATAAGTAAAAAGAGAAGCGTTCAAATAAAATATGCAACATATCAAGCGAGCTTTTATGCGAATTATTCTGATCATTCTTTTACATTAATCATAATGTACTTTTTAGTTTTAGTTTTCCAAACTGGACTTTACATTAAATGTTAAATAACAATAAGGTAAAATTAGAATCGAGTATATGAATAGGTGAGATTTTATTGGGTTATCATGTGCTTTGCAAGAGAGGAAGAATATAACTCGCGAAGCATAAAACGTGAATTACTTGAGGAAATATCTCCGGGTCAAATTATTCGCTGACATAAAATTCGCGTTGAATGGGAAGTCTAACAAAAATAGGTGAGTACATAAATTCTAGAATTTATGCAAAGAGATAGAGATATTTATGTGATCTTTTATTTAAAAAATTTTAAGCATTAGAGCTTTTTTAATTGCGTACAATTTAATACGTTAATTTTCTTTAATTTGAAATAAATTTTTTTTCAACAAGATATTTTCGTTACTTATCCATTAATCTATTTATATAAGATCTGTTAGCATTAATGTGTAAGACATTTAATTTGGTTCATCCTGTTGCCTGTTATTTTAGACATTATTAACATAAAAGTTAAGAATTTTTAACAATGTGTAAAAAGCGTAATAAAGTCGGCGACCGTAAGTTTTTTATTTGCAACAGTTTTTATGAAAATAAAGTAGTAGTAGGTCAAAAAATATAGTAATATAAGATATAATCGATTCTGTCAATAATAAAATATATATATCGTATACCGTTGAATTCGTGAAAGCGGAAATCGGCAAATTTTTATTGTTTGCACTTTACTGTCAGTTTGACTCCGATTTTTAACACGCGATTTAGAGAATCGCGCGCTTCTGCATCTAAATGGAACTTATTATCTACATGAATCGATATGCAGCAGTAATACGAGGTTTACGACCGGCTGCTTTGTCACTGTCGCATTTATCGATGACATCTCGTGCATCGATCTGTCATCGTTGGTAGTGAAACCGGTGGCCGGAACGATTTCGCCTACCGCATTGATCCTGCTATCATACAGATCCGCTCATTCGTATATTCACGATGAAATTTCATAGTCGAATTAATCGATTCACTTGCATTTGACACGCAAATCAAAGATCTTTTTATAATCGAATGAGACACGCGATTATTACTTCTGTCATACTTTTTGGTATAAAAAAAAATCACAAAATGAATTTCAATACAAAACTTTCAGAATGCGTATTTAATTACAACACTCGAAAATAAAGATGTAAGACGGAACAATTTTAATTAACATTATAAGGCATTTCAAAATTTTAATATATTTAAAAGGCAGTAGACATAAAATCACGCGTTAACATTTTACATGCCTTCGAGGTATTATTTGAACAATTTAAGAAACCAGTAAGAAAATATGAGATTGTGAATTAAAAAAAAAAATTCTTCCTTCCAGAACGTCAGAATATTCCTAAAAGAAACCGTTGACCATGATTAATCATCTGGTATAAAACATCGTAACCTCTAGATTATCATTTTGCGCGGCATATTTATCGGACAGCTACCTGAAGATGTTGCATCTTCAGACGCGAAAACACGCGAGGCAGAAGATAACTCCTGTATGGGGAAGGGGAGAGGGGAAGATAGGAGGAGCGAGTCGGCAAACTTGACGTGCAGTTTCTTCGGCATTACAAGAGCATCCACCTTCGCTTTAATCAAGTCGGAGAGCGGCGGGCGCGCGCGAGCTACCGTAAACGGGTTATATACCTGGAGGAACTCACCTTCACGACGTGGTGTTTCTGATTAATGTTCGGCATCCTCAGGACACGGCACCAGAGCAGCGTGTCTTGCCCCATGGGTAAACGAACCTGCACAGCAATTCGAATGGTACTTCGTTAAGCGAATATAATTCCGTGCGAAACTAACGGATAGAGTTGCCACATTGGAACCTTCGATTCTTCGTATCGGCATTGATGTCACGAGGATGTCGATACGGTACTTTATATTGGGAGGAAAAACGTAATTCAAATGTATCTATATAACAAATATACATGTGTTAAAACGAATTGTAAAGTACAAGTAAAACGACTGAAGAAATATGAAAATTTTCACTTTTATTTTAGTTCGATCTTATCCGAAGAATTGAAATTTCTTTCGCATTCTAAATTAATAAAAAAATTCATTGTAAAACTTTAAATTAAAAGTTAATTTTAAATGAAATGTAAAATGAAATATATAAAAATATTATTTAAGCGAAATAATGTTTTTCGTAACAAACGTTTCGTAAATAACATTTTGAATGTTGTTATCACAATTAACTTATTGAATCAAATAACTTATTGGAAAAATTTTTTATTGCAAATGAATGCTTTATCGCACCGCATTATATTAGCACTTTATTATGTTTCAAAAGTTCACTACATTCCGTTCCAATAATTGCTATTCTGTAAATATAAAAAGTTTCTTTGCTGGAACCTATATAATAAAAGGGATAAGATTCGGAAAAACTTACTTGATGCATATGTCAGGTTAATGGTTTGTTACAACGAAGTAAGAGAGCAGTTAAACGCAAATATATACGAGAAATTCATTACCATATTTTCCGACGCCGCGTGCGACTTACGTAACAAGGTTGCAAGTTGCTTTTGTGATATACGAGCCCATTTCGCTCTGTCTCAAAGCGGCGCCTTCCACGCCACGCGACTATTTTGCACAGTTCTCATGCACGGCCAGCTGCATTGTGCACGAACGTGTTGCGAGTTTTTCGGCACGTATAACAGAATAAGAACTGCATGTACCAGCGTTAGTTGCGTTACTTGTTCTGGGTGTTTCGCCCGATATACACAAGCCGTTGTTATTGTTACGTACGTGCGAACTCATTTTGCTCGATCTCAAAACAATACGATATTGTAAGCACCGTTCAGCTGCACCCCTTGACTGTATTACACACCAATTGTTTGGACAAAATAAGATTTATGTAGACAGCGAAAGACTAAACGTCATTTGAGAGAAGAGAGAAATACTTAATTTTTATTTATCACATTTTCTACCACAAATCAAACGTACATATTTCTCATGGTATGATATAATAAATTATGCTATTTATTTTATGCTTGTGTACGAACATTATTATTATTATTATTATTATTATAACTTGTGCACGTATACATGTGCAACTTATACGGTTTTGTATCTCTCAATTGTAAATCATATTTCTTGCTATACGCTTGGGTAAGAATTAGTAATATTAGTCTTGTTACTTGTCCCCACGTGTATCTACAAGTCAAATTCTGCCAAAATACTCGCGGGATATGAGATTTCGTGCATCAATGGAATCACGCTACGCTCCGTTGTTGCACTATATCTCGGTAAATACGAAGACCCCGGTAAGGTGGGGAAGATGGAGCGCTGATGGGGTCGTTTCAAACTCTTTGCCGCGGGGTACATGGACGACCGTATAGCATCCGAGAAAATTACGATTCTCTTTTTCGCGCATCTTCCCCCCGACCGACGACCGACTCCTGCCCTAAGCGTTCGAACCACGCCGGCGGATTCTCCCACGCGCTTATGCGAAATTATCGATGTCGAGATTACCGGGAAGGACGAGCGCGTTTATTGTTTTGCGGTCGAGCACGCTGGCCGAGGCCCGGGGGCGACGGACAAATTTTTAGGAACTCCACGAATGCATTTCCGATTTCTACCCTAGTGAGCATTCATTTCGAAATGATCTTTTTCATTGACATTCGCCAAATGACATAATTGTCTGTTAACAAAAGGCACAAAAATTTTCGTCAATCAATGATAACATAATCTCTGTGCTTATACATATGCTGTTTAATTCTTCAATTCTTTAATTGGTTAAAATAAATTAAACATAACAAAAAAAACATAATAGAAATGATAGTATTCGAAAATAAACAAGAATGTAAAAATTAGCTAACGAGTAACGATCTTTATAATAAACGGGAAAATATTGTAAAATCTGAAGAGTAGCGTAATGTAAACTCATTTCTCTTCAGCCTCATCTTCTTGTGTCTATCTTCTATTCATATTCACCATGGCGCGATACAAAAGTTACTCAACCGGTCGGCAACTTTTGCGTACTAAGAAAAAGTTTCTCGCGATATTTGTACAAAAAGGTAGTGCGTATCGAAATACAGAAATATAATATAATATTCTTTTTCGTATTAAGAATTAAATTAGAAATGTTCCAATAGCTTTAATAAAAAAAAGTTCAGTAATTTTGGTTCAATGTAATAATCATGATTTTTTTCATATAAATAGATAATGAAATAAACATTTTGAATATTTATGTTTAATTGTAATTTCTATTACTTTTTAACTCTGAGAATATTTGCAAGCGTTATATTTAAAAATGTTTAATATTTAAATAATAAATAATTTTTCTACATATTAACACATAAATTGTTTTAGTTGCATTTTAGTTCTCTGTACACTGTTTAAAGTAAACTTTTAAAGTAAAGGAAACATATGCTTTTGCTTTGAAGAAAGAAAAAGAAGAAAAGTACACGTACAAAATGTAGATAAAAAGAATAGATCTGTTATCTCGATTATTCCACCACAGCGGTTGTAACGAAGTCTTTGAAATGTGAGTGACTACAAAAATCTCACTAAAAATGGTGACATTCGACAAATTGGAAATGTATTTACGGACGAATACATTCCGCGCGAAGCGTTTGCTTGTCTCAAACGATATTACATGGTCAACATTTCCGGGTCGTTTATCAGCACGTCCAGCGAGTGATCTTGCACTTTTTCGTGGGCCAGCGGGCGGAATACGCGAGCGTGGCCTGATTCCGGTCTCGATATAAACTATAAACAGCGACGGGACAGACGGTAGAATTAGCATTGTCCGATTCTCGGCGATAGCACCGACCCCGTAATCTACGACCCGGCGACGTTAATGAACGAATAGTTTTTGCCGGATGTGACCCGGTTAAGATTTATGCCATCATAAATTCGGCGCACAATGCTCCACCCCCCCCTCTCTCTCTCTCTC